AATGTGCACATAAGGTAGAATGGCTTTTGTATGCATGCTGATAACAGGGATTTCCTATACATCTTTCTTTTTACCTCACACAGCCATTCATTCGAAACTCGAAATTATCCTAAATAATATTGCAAGGGACGCAGGCTTATGAACTTTCCACCATGTCTTTCTGTTGCTCCAACCTGGTCGTGAAACCGAAGTAAAATTAAGCTGATTTTTCCGATTATTATTCGAATGATTTTTTTGGTAGTATTCGTTTTTGAAGTTATCTTATGGCTTACATTCTCCTACTTGCCATCAGGTTTTTGGTAGATTAAAGATCACTTAATCTCTCTGCATTAAGAGTATATTATCTTAATATTTTCCTCATCAAAACTTATTACATTAAATTGAATTATGCTATTCTTCTACTTTTATACCAGCTTAAACTTTTTCCAACTTCCGTCCTGGCTTCAACTCCTGAAGGTATGCCGGCAAATCTTTCATTTCTTCCTTCTGATTGGATTTTGTATGACGAAGCAGTTCCACTACAGATTGCACTAGGTTATAACAGTAACCTTAATCATCAAATAAATCAACCTAACCTGAATGGAGGTAGTCACGACAATTGTGAAGAAACCGAAGGCGATAATACAGCCATGTTGCGTTGCTTGACAGTGGTTTCATCAATTACAGTGGCACTTTTGGCTGGATCAATGCGTCTGAAGCCAGAACTTCTTAGAGAAACTGAAGTTGCTGTTCATGGTCGGTCCTATAACTTAAATAGATATACAGATTCCTTATAATTTATCATATTTAAAATCTAGAAATTGTGTATACTTTATGATTCGTATGGAAAGAAAAATATTGATCAGCCAAACAGTCTTTCATAATTCTGTAAATCCTACAGTTGTTGATATTTCAAATGTTATATTTATTATCAAATTTTGAACCCCCTACATTGGGTTTCTTATGTTATTTATGTGAGGTAGATATGAGTTACCCAAATTGGTTTACCTAAATTATATTGTTTAATAACTAGTGTTAATGATGTGGTCTGACCTCGTTTTCAAAACTTGGTCTTGTTATTAGGACGACTTAGTTGGAAGCGCTGTCCTAAGTAATTTTCCAAAGTAGTTATCATATTTCCAATTTTTGGGCCCTGAATTCGGTACATTCTCAGATATTTCATCAGAATCGTAGTCTCTATCGTCAGTCTATCTTGCCATTCTCAGCAACAAGCAACGACTTGTCAAATAGACAAGTGAAATCATTCTCTTGACAAACTTCCCGCCAAAACGATTGTGCTATCAATCCTCTTTCTGTCCTGACCCCTCTACCCCTAACCACTTGTCCCACTCTAGTCCTATCAAAATTTCTTGTTTATATTTGGATAAAATTTGAATTTCGAGAAATCTCTTGCTACCTCATTGTTGAGTTTACTTGCATTTCGAATGAAAGTGTTTGGTGAAAAGATTCGAAAGTCGATTCCACAGAAGACGACGGCAGCAGTCGATTGGCTTTATCGGAACCTTTATATTGACGCTGGTTCCAAAGTAATCTCCTTCAATTTCGGTGAATAGATGCTAAGCTTTCGTCCGTGATATGACAAATCTCATCATAGCAAGGTATCATCGTTGCAACCAAATTCAAGCTAGCGAGTCAATCAAGCTCAGATATAGAGTATATTTACAGCATTTTAGGAATGAGCCGGTGAATTTTCTTGATTCGTTAGCTTGAATTTGGTTGCATTATTTCCTTGATTAACCCAGTTTGTCCTAAGCAAACTGTGCACTCCTATCTATGATCTTCGAATTTATGTGACGGTTGTGATTATCTTTGGCGTGACCGTCAGGCTCCTAAAATTGTAAGGTATAAAGAACAAGATGGTGTGACCTTTTGTGTGGTCACAGACTTCTTTCGTTGAATAGAAGTTGTTTGACCTTGTTTTCGCAACTCGGTCATATCGGTAGGAAGACTTAAAGAAACGCAGCTAGTCCGGAGTCCATTGTATGCATCATCATTTCCAGAGGGCCGTGGACGTGGTACATTCCCAGACGTTTCGCCGGCATCGTAGTCGGCATCGTCAGTGAGTCTCGCCATTTGTAGCACAATTACAACTCGTCAAAGGGATAAGTGAAGCCCGTCCTTTGACCAAACGGGTGTTAAACAGTTATGGTATCTCCAATTCTGCCCTGGCCTATTCACATTTCCTATATCCTCCTATCATGCCTTCCCTGTCACAGTTTTTTTACCG